CTTTCTCTTTGATGAACAATTAATTATTAAAATATAATATTGTCTGCATACAGCGCTGGGATCCCTGAAAGTGAAGACGAGATGCCTTTCTTTTCCGTTCTTTTATCTGGTAGTGTGCAGTACCTGCTCGGCGTGGGTAACAGAATGAGCGCTAGTACAAGTCCAGGGTTTCAAATACTTTTCTCAACTAGTTCAGTGGCTGGGATAGGAATGTTTTGACTTCAAATTACTAATCAGGATAAAAGTTGGAGGCAGAATGCTCTGATCAGGATGGGTTTGAAGTCAAGCTGCCCTTCCATAATAAGATTCATTTAACAAGCACTCAGATGTGCTTATCCTGTGCCTAAGCCAGTAACTAATGTTAATTATTCAGTCTCCTTATGAGGCCGATAGTATTAGGATCCCATTTACAGATGAGGGTTCAGCTACCGAGAGGTTCAATAACTTGTCTTAGGTCAGTCCTTGAAGTAGACAAGTTAGGATTTAAATCCAGGGGGCTGGTTCTAGTACTTCTCTCCATTTGACAACATCTCCATTTATGAAGATTTTCTTAGTGGAGTAGTTTCTTCCTTCTTCCCCAGCGGTCCTCAGGAGCTCCCAGTTTTGTGGACAGCGCTAGAAATCTAGGGCTACCGTGTCTAAAATTATTTTGGAATCACAGATAAGCACCATGAGCACCCCATTTGTCAGTGGAGCACCACCTGTGGGACTAGGCAGGAAATGGTATTTTCTGGAAGATCAGGAAAAAATGATGTTACATTTGAATTTAGAAAACCTAAGAGGGAAAGAAAACAACTCAAGGGTTGTTCTGTCATGTGTGTTCACAAAAGAAACGATCATGAGCAATGGAGGCACCTGAACATGTAGCATTCTTCCCCCCAATTCTGGTGATGACTATCAGGACAACTTTCTAACATGCACCCAACCCCTAGCACAGCTTAAAGTAAGGGAGGTGCCCTGGCCGGGTGGCTCAGGGGTTGGAGTGTTCCATGCACCAGGGGCTTCCATTTTGATCCCATCAGGGCAGGGTAGTAATTGATGATTCCCCCTCTCTCTCCCTCCTTCCCTCTTCCCATCCCTTCCTCCCCCTCTCCCTCCCTCTCTGGTTAGTGAACATATCCTCAGGTGAGGATAAAAATAATAACAGTAGTAGTAGTAGTAATAATAATAATAATGGAGGTAGAATGTGGCCTGAGGGCCATATCAGTTCTGCTTGTTTGTGTATGGCCCCTAAGCTAAAACAGTTCTCACATTTGAATCCTAATTAAACGAAATGGCATTTCTCCCCAAAAGAATCCTATTCTTATTATAGAAGACCCATATTCTAAAAATTGTCCTCAGTGATTCTTAGCATTTTGAATAATGTTAATAAGATTGTGGAAATGTATTTGTTATATAAGTACCTATGTGACATCTTTGATTTTGCTCCTTGGCCTGCAAAACCTAAAATACATGTTATCTGGCACTTTACAGAAAACTTTGGCGAATCCCTGGCTTAGACGCAGTGTGAGCGGCCTGTTCCCAGCCGGGTGCTTGCCTTGATAAATCAGGGTTTCCAGGGCACTGCGCTGAGCCTCGTATGTGTATTAGCTTGCTTCATTTTCACAGCAACCCTGAGCAGTACACATTCTCAGTATTCCCATTTTACAGATGAGGCAAGTACCTGAGAGGGTAAGACCTTTCCCTAAGGTCACACAGCTGTTAAATGTCAGTTGGCTCCAAAACCATGCTAGAGTTTTGGCAAAGAAAACTCGAAAAGTCTAACCTGTCCTGCTCAGGCTGGTGAAGAACGTCAGATAGGATGTCCATTGAAAGCACTGATAATCCAGTTAAAAGAAGACATGGGCACAGACACTTTCAAAAAGTACATGGTTATGGAAGATGTACGTGCCTAGGCTTTGGCATTTTACAGGAATACTAATAACAATAATATTACAAGTAATTAAAATAAGAATCATATTTACTGTTTCTGACATGTACACTATGTTCCAGGCTCTTCCCGAACCCTTCTCTTTCTTGCGATGATTTATTTCATTTTCATGTCGGCCTGGGGAGGTGTGGGTAACAGCTCACACAGCTCACAGGTGGGAGGGTCGGACTGAAGGGACCAGGGGCTGAGGAAGGCAGCGGTCTGAGCCGGTTTCAGCACAGGTGATGTTGCCGCTCACTGCTCACTGCTGCAGACTCCAGGGGTCCTTGCAGAAAGAATCTCATCCGAGTGTCTGTGGTCTCCTTACATTTCTACTTTGTCTCCCTTACCTCACCCTGCTCTTCCATTTCCCGCGCCCGTGGGTCCTTGGCTTCAGCCTTGGTGGTGCCCGCTCAGCCGTCTGAGTCGCCCGCTCCTGCTAAGACTGGGTTTGGAGAAAGGGCTCGTTCGCTCCTGAAGCCCTGAACTGGGGCTGTCCGAGGGCCTGGTCTCAGAGCTCTAAGACCCAAGAGCACTAATGGCACCCCTTCGTTGTGCCCCCTCCAGGTCTGCCCACCCGACCACCCACCTGATTGCACCTTCTAGTCAGCTGAAGCCGGAACCTGCCCTTGGGTTGGTCAGGGATGGAGAAGCCCTCGGCATTTGTAGCAGTGGCCGAGGCTGCGGAGACGGAGTCCCCTTGAAATCCAGTCTCCTGGGGTTGGTGGCACTGCTGTTTCTGCTTTAGCTTTATGTTCTCGCCAGCCCGGTTCTCTTCCTCGAGTGGGTGCTTCCGAGGGGGCTCGGCGCTGCGTGGCTTTCAGGGGCTGTCTGGTCCTTTCCTGTCGGCCTGCAGCGCTCCTACCTGCAGCCCTCAGACTGAGTCGGGCCCCTCAGGGGAAACTCGACGGATTTGCTGTCTGGAGCCCTTGGTCCCCAGGCAGGTTGTGTGCTGCACTATGAGCCAAGTTCACCTTCCATGAGGGACAAATGAAGGTGCTGATTTTCTGGGCTGTGATGTCAAGCTCTATGCACTCTCAATTGCCTCGGGCTTTGTGTGGACTATTTATACAGCCCAGGAAGTGCCCGCAGATGCCAAAATATGTCCTCCTCTTAGCCAAACCTGTCCCAGCCAAGTGTACTTGCCGAGATGCCCCCATCATTAGGCTGCCGGGAACCAGGCTTAAATTAAAGCCCAGACTTGCCAGTGGGCACAGGGACAATCCCATTATATCCGGCCTTTTGTTGACCAGAAACCGCTTTAGTCATTTTGATTATAGAGCCCTATAATTTGAGGACTTTTGCATTTATTGTTAATATTTAATACTTTCTTTTAAACAAAGAATTGAAAAGAATGTAAGAATCAGCCAAGGTTTCTGCGCCTCGTGGAGACCTGCTTGCTACTTCCCTGGTCACTAGTGGCCTTGGGCTTGATTTCTTTAAGGTCTCTTCCTCATTCCCACAGGTGTGAAGTTGTAGGCTGTGCAGTGCGAGAGAGCAGGGACGGGTCAGGGAACGGAAGCCTGGGTTCTGAACGCCAGGTTTTGCATTCCGGCTCTGTACATAGTCAGGGACAACAGGACCTACGTCACAAGGCTGTTTTAAGTATTCAATCAATTAGTCTTTATAAAGCTCTCAGAAGTGGGCCTGGCACCTACAGTTAGTGCTGTTTAAATGTTTTCAACACATAAATACTCAGAATAGAGCCTGGCATCTAGTAAATGTTAAATTTTTGTTCAACGAATCTCTACTAAAAGGAAATGCCATTTTAATTATTCTATCATGGTCCATTTCTATTGGGGTTTTTGCATCGTTCCCAGTTACACAGACCTCTTGAGTTAGGGACACACATTTGCCCAACTACCTGCACCTGTTCTGCAAGGAGGAAGGGGGAGGAGGCGTGAGGCTTGGGAAGGATGGTCCCGTAGGCACAGGTGTGTCCGTGAAGTAACCTGGATCCCTGCGTCCCCCAGGAATGTGCTGGGGAGGGTGGAGGCCATGAAGGAGTTAAGGAGAGCCATTAGCAGGTATCATAGACTAAAAGGGATAAGGAAGGAACCCTGACTTAAATTCAAGTCAGGGCTAGACCTTTGGAGATGCAGGTAGAGACTAGAACTTCCTCTGATGTGTGAAAGAAGCTGGATGGTCTACTGAGCCTGGATGGGAGAGTTATAACACAGAGCCCTGATCTGTGTCACACTGTCCCTTCCTGCCTCAGGACCTTCACACATGCTGCTCCCAAGGCCTGAAATGCTCTTCTCCTCTTTTACCCCCCTCCCACTTTCAATATTCAGCTAGTTCACTTCAAGTCCTTTGGCTGAGTCCATCCAGGCAGGCTCCAGTGTCCACGTGCCTCTGTTCACACCCAGCTCTGCCCCTTGGAGGTTCTGTGAGCTGGGTAGGTACTAACCCTCTCTGTACCTTGTTTCCTCTCAGAGTTCTTGTGAAGTGTTGTTGCTGCGTATATCTCAGCCTAAATGTCATGCCTTCTACTTCAGGGAAGTCTGCTCCGCGTGTATAAAGGAAAGAAGTATATTTTCAGGGCCACCACTTTAAAAGTTCAGGGTCGCTCCTTGGTTAGGTTTCCCTTTGAAACCAAGAGGAGATGGAACTGACTTCGGAGCTGCACTTTACCCTTGATTTCCGGTTCCTTTTCCCACTGATTCGCTCATGGGTGCCCCAGAGTCTGCTCCAATGGCTATTTGTTCTTAGGTATCAGACAGGGAAGTGCTCTCTGGGGAAATGAGATTGTGGGGGTTTGGGGTAAGCAAGATCATGCCACAGCTTCTCTGCAGGACTGTTCAGGACTTGACTGTGCCAATGTTCTGCCCATTCTGGGGAGCGAGGGAGGCACTGCAGTGTTGCCCAGCGCTGGTCATCATGGCACCTGTTCTTCAAGAGATGCCGTGCGTCCTGGTGCCTCAGAACACACCTGGGAAGCGCCGCGCTGTGCTCTGTGCCTTCCCCAACCGCTGGCGCCTCCAGGCTGCATGCAGACACGGCGGCGGCGCACTCGCGGCAGAGGGGTTTGCCGTGTCTCAGTGTGGTACGGCTCACCGTTGTGCTTTCTTTTGCCTCTTCCCCCAAACAGAGAAGGAGACCTTTCTGGATCCTTTCATTCTCCGGGACCTCCTGCCTGCATCCCTGGGCAGCTATTACCGGTACACGGGTTCTCTGACCACCCCGCCGTGTAGTGAAATTGTGGAGTGGATAGTCTTCCGGAGGCCTGTCCCCATCTCCTACCACCAGGTAGATATTCAGCCCCCAAACGGGGCTTCTGTGTGTGTGTGTTTGTTTTGGGTGTCTCAACTATCTAACATTGCTAGGTAGTTGTTTGGTTTCACTTTTTAGATCTGCTGATCCTCATTGATTCTTTCTTCCCAACAAATGTGTTTTTTAAACTAAGAATTGTAAAATATAAAACATGATTTTTCAGCTACAAATGAACCAGCTGAAGAGAATCGCAAGCATGAAACCAGGGACAGTAGAAGTCTTCGGTCTTGAGAAGCTAACCCTCTTCACCCATGGTGGTATCTTGTGCCAGGAACTCGTCTGAGCCCGACATGTGTTAACACATTTCATCCTCATGAACAGCAGTCTCATGAGGTGGCTACGGTCTGTAGAGGAAAGACATAGAAGTGCAGTGACTTGTCCAAGGTCACACAACCGATTCCCGAGCCATGGCATTTGATCCCAAACATCATGCTCGGAACCACTCAATCTACCCAACATTCAGACAAGAGAGAGATTTATACACATGAAGGAATAAAAGAAAACCACCCTTGATTGAGCTCTCTGTGTGCCACTAAGCACTTGACATATGTTTAATTTTATTAAAGAAAGACGTTGAGAGATAGGTATGATGCCAGGATTGGACCGTGAGGCCATCGGGTGTGGGAAGACTGGGTACCATGCCCAGGGATTCATGAGTGTTGAAGCCAGAAACCAAGCCTGGGTTTGTCTGATTTCAAAGGCCGTGTTGCCAACCACTACGCTGAACTGCTGAACTGCTGACCTCTGAGTGTGGCCTGGCGGTTTTCCTAAGAAGGTGAATTTGGGCTGAGCCGATAAGTGGGAAGGAATTGCTGAAATGGACATAGGATTGAGGGCAAGGTCAGAGGAACAGGAGCTACCAGGGTGCCAGGGGTCTTGAAATCACCTCATCAGGAATAACAGATGAAGGGGAAAGTTCTTAGAGGGATTATCTTAGTCACCAGAAATGCAGCATACACTGAAGTGACAGAAGTGTGGGTCTTCTCCATAGTTCCAGAAAAGAGAGCAAGGAACAATGGGTAGGATTTGTAAGAAAGCAATTCGAGCCATTAACCAGCAGTGCCTAAAAATGGATAGTTCCCCTCTGGCCGTTCATAGAAATGCCTCCCCAGAGCTTAACAGCTAGGGGTGGGGATGAAGTACAGGGAAGGGGGGGTTGGGGGATGACGTGATATTACCAGTGATATAACTGAAGACACTGCTTCCCAATATGGTTACTGTAGCCTAGTGACCTTTCAACTGAAGGGCTGGCTACCAACTGACAACAGTCTGGGTCTCGTGTCAGATAGTATTCAAGAAGACAGATCCAGTAGACATTGGCCGGTCTTGAGTCCTGTGCCCGATTGAATGAGTCAGCAGAGTTGCTTCCTGAGCCATCAGGGTTGCCCGGGGGTGAAGGGAGCAGGAAGTGCAGCAGGAGCTGTGTGCAGGAGACACCTTACCTTGCGGGCCAAGGGAGGTGGCGTGGCCTGTCAGTCACGCTCACTTGGCCTCACTGCTGTTGGCGAGCATTTGATTTCCAGATTGTTTTTCTTTTAATCCTGCTCTTGTCAAAAAAGAAGGACTAATGCCCTGGCTGATGTGGCTCAGTTGCTTGAGTCACCTGTTCGATTCCTGGTTTGGGCACATGCCCAGGTTGCCACTTTGGTCCCCCGTCGGGGTGCTTGCAGGAGGGAGGTAGTTGATCGATGTTTCTCTCTCACATCAGTCTCTCTCTCTCCCTCTCTCTCTGCCCCCCCTTCCTCTCTCTCTCAAATCAATCAAAACATTTTTCTAAAAAGAAGGCCTAGCAGTTTGGTTTCTGAACAGGATCTGCCCGCCTCAAGGAGATAATGAACTATGAAGCGAATTTTCTTCCTAAGGGCGAAGCCAGCATTGTTTTATTAAAATAAAATTTTACAGTCCACATGTTTACATCCTCAGGGTTGGGGGAGGAGCTTTGAAAAGGAATCCTTCTTGTGGATTAAGATAAATGCTTTTGGCCCTGGCCGGTTTGGCTCAGCGGTTAGAGCGTTGGCCTGCGGTCCTGAGAGACCCGGGTTCGGTTCCCGCTAAGGGCGCGTACCTCGGTTGCAGTTTGTCCCCGACCCTGGTCGGTCGTGCGGGTGGCAGCCACTCGATGTGTTCCTTTCACATCGATGTTTCTCTCTCTCTCTCTGTTCCTCTCTCTCCCTCCCACTCTACCTGAACAAAAAATGGAAAAATGTCCTCGGGTGAGGATTAAAAAAAAAAAAAAAGATAAATGCTTTTGTCTTCAACGATATAAAAGCCAGAGTGGGCCCTGGCCGGTTTGGCTCAGCGGTTAGAGCGTCGGCCTGCGGTCCGGAGAGACCCGGGTTCGGTTCCCGCTAAGGGCACGTACTTCGGTTGCAGTTTGTCCCCGGCCCTGGTTGGTCATGCGGGTGGCAGCCACTCGATGTGTCCCTTCACATCGATGTTTCTATCTCTCTCTCCTTCCTCTCTCTCCCTCCCACTCTATCTGTACAAGAAATGGAAAAATATCCTCGGGTGAGGATAAAAAAATAAATAAATAAATAAAAGCCAGAGTGGGAGTTGTTGAGCTGGGGAGGAACAGGACAATGACCACAGCCTGGGTTTCACCGCCGTCTCCGAGTTTCAGGCTGGGATGTTCTGTTACGTGCCTGTCAGCAGCACGCGTCCTGGCATTCGGTACCCGGGCCTTCCTTTACTGAGACTGGTTTACCCTCAAACTGCCCGCCACCCATACACTCGAAGAGCAGAAATGATGAAAGGGTTTTTCTCTCTGACTTTCAATAGTTTCTCTGGAGCTATTAATTATTGTTTCAAGGAAATCGTGAAGAAATAAATTAATCATCTTGGCTTCCTTGTGTCTGTACTATAAACTTTACTTTTATCGGGCACAGCTTCATATATCCTTGCCTGTCTCCCGAGAAAGGAAAACAGCTCATTTTTATGTGGCCGAGCTGGCTCCCCGCCGGCGAGCGGCACGGAGGTCGCAGCTGTGCCAGCCCTCGGAAGGAAGACATTAGCCATCCAAGTGGTGTCGCTTCAGACCTTCCCTGGCCCTGCCAACATTCTTTCTGAAGTTAGCACAACATGTTCATCTCAGGAAGGCGAACAGCCAAACGCGAAGAGCCAAGCAGACAAGACCGTGTCTGCGTCTGGGGAAGAGGACGTTCCCTTCCCGTTCTGTCTCCTCTTCTCTGACACGTGCGCGTGCCCTGGGCCGTGAAAACGCGCCTGTCCGCCGTGAAACCGTGCTTGGCTCCAGCCGTGGGCTGGTGCGATGTGGATCTCTTGGAAACCTTCCAGAGTAAATATGAGCAACTTCTTATTTTTTCTGTTTTGTGAGTCTACTTGGACATTCACACCAGCCCTGGCGCCCGTGAACCCTGACTCTGGCTGGCGTGACAGTCTGGAACTAGGTGCGGCGTTGCCGAAGTGTCACACGTGGGCTTCGCTGGCCAGCAGTCAGGATGGCGGCTGTGGCTCCATTAAACACCCACGGTTAATGCCAGGCAGAAGTCACGCCATGCCTTTGTCACCCGGACACAATGGTGACAGTCGGGTCTGGAGGTCAGAGAGCAGGATCGACACACTGAGACAGCTGCCTGCATGGGTTCCTGCCCGTCAGAGAACATGATCATCTCGAGTCCAGAGCCCTGGGGTGTGTTTTCTTCTCGAACAGTGACTCTCAAAACACGGTGCTTTGGCCGGTGGAGACTGTCCCCCTCCCCTTTCCAGGACTGTTTGCTTCCTGTAGTTTAAATATGACGCTGCCCATCATTTTCCTCAGCGTGAATTGTAAGTGCTTCTTGGGGAGTCTGTCAGAAAGGCAATAAAAGTTTAAATATGTCTAGCTTGTTTACTTTTGGATGCTTGATTTTTTTTCCCTGCTAAGAATAAGCTGGAGTGGAGAGAAAAGGTTTATTCACATGACTTTTTTTGTTTTTTAACCAGTCTTCTCTCTCTCATCAGCAGTAGAACAACTCTTTTTGAATTAATACCATGTTTCATTTGGAGCCAGAGTACTTGGGGTTCCACGCCTGGGTCTAGTCTTCAGACAAATTACTCAGCAACTCTGCTACTCTCTGCCTTGGTTTCCATCTGTAAAATGGGGTGACTCTAGTGCCCACCTGGACGGGGTCATTACCGTGATTCAGTGATGGAATGTGTGCAGAATGCTGGTCTGGTGCCCGGCACCGCAGGAGGTGCTCGGGAGAGGCTGGGCGGGTTGTTGCTGTTGCTAAGTGATCACCAAGGCCCTAAGGCAGCACTGTCCAGTATCAATAAAACAAACACCATAGACATCATTTGAAATTTTCTAGTAACCACAAAAATGTAGAGAGAAACAGGTGAAATTAATTTTACTGTATTTTATTTAGCTCAATTTTTCTAAATTAGTATTATTTCAACAGGCAGGGCTAGCTACATTTCTGGTGGGCTAGCCGTGTGAGGTGGCTGGTGTCGAAGCCTGATGTTTGTCTCGAGGCCGCGTAACTAATGAACCACTTAATTCAGGAAGTTTCTGTTCCAACACTATAATGGGCAGTGCGTATGAATAATGGTGTGTTGTTGTTTTTTAAATAGTGGGTGAAGGTGTCATTATTAATCCACAGCAGATAGCTGTCTTTGTGTAATTATGGTTAAATCCTTTCCTTTCTGTAGAAGACATTTCTATAATCACCTTCATGAAAAGCTGTCTGTAACTCTGGGGTGGTGGGGGTGGGGCTGTAGTTACCTAACTACTCTTGGATTTTCTTTTTGCAGCCACATTTCAGTAAGTAAACCTTGGAAGCTCCGGGCTGTTGAGAATTTAATATTCCATCATTGTTGTCTTGTTTAATCACGAGCCAACAAAATAGCTCGTCTCCCATCACCTCTCAAATGTATGGTGAAAAAGTGTGTCCTTGACCTTAAGTGTGACATTTCAGCTCCTAGTGCTTCTCCTGGTTTCTTGTTCTGCTGACAGTGGACGCTGGCATTGCCCCACT